GGGGGGGGTTAGTCAAATAAAACTTAAAACAAGAACTAAAATATTTTGTAGGATAAAATTTTATAGTGTTAGTTAACTAGAACTAGAACTTGAATAAAACTTTACAGTAGTCAACTAGATCTCTAATAAAACTAGAATTGGGCTAATTATACAAAGTTATGCCACTTTTTTATTTTTCCATAAAAAAGAGAGTCTTAGTCTCTCAAATTACCCCAGGTTTTAGCTTGGAACTGGGTAGTAAAAAAATCAAAACTCTCCTATGTATTTCAATTTTTATACTTCCTTTTTTCTTTTCTTCTTTCCTACAATGGTCATCATCATCATTAGACAATGAATTCAGATCAGATCTCATCTCCTCTTAGATATCACCGATATTTTTTTACCAAATATTATAATCATATAATTAATTTAAAAGATTGTATCGATCCATAACTTATTAAACAATAAAACTGAGAGGTGAGAGAATGAGATCTCAGGGAGAAAAAAAGGAAGGAAAATGTGGAGAACGTTTTTTTTTTTTTTTTGGTGAAGTGGAGAACGTTTTTAGACTTGTACTATAATAATAGTTAAAAAAAATAAAAGCTACAACATATATTACACTAATAATTTTTAATATATTATAGCCTAACCAAAAGTTATTAAATAGAAATTAACATTCCCATTGATAATTATCAATCAATAATAGTAAGTTTGAAATGCATAAATATATTTACATCCTCAAAATGCATAAATATATACTTCATGGTCGTAAAAAATTATCTCACGTTATTTTATCAAAATATTCTGTTTCACGAAATTGTTCCTATTTATCCCACTAGCGAAAAATTGTCCCGCTTTAACAATTATCCCACTTCGCATGAAAATGTCCTAATTAACTAACACCCCCAAAGAGTGGTGGCTGGGCCGGTTTGGTTCACAACCCACACTAAACTAGCTCGTTTAGATCAGGTTTGACCTGATCTAGTAGAATCTCGGCCTAGTTTGGCTCGATTTGATTTCAAAGTGGGCCAGGTAAGGGTCTGTTTCTAAAACTGAGGCTTGAACTTAAGCCCAGCCGACAAACCAGCCTAACTCATATTGGACTCACATCCGAACAGAGCCTGAAACCTAAATCACACACAATCTCCACAATGACATTGGTTATTAGTTAAGTAAATTAGGTATTATTAATTAACTAACTATGATTAACTATTTGGTAATCTAAAAAATAACAACATAGTTAAATGTGTATATTTCAAGCAAAACATTTTTAGGTTAAGTCCAAAACCTTACTCAACAACAAAAAAATCACTGTCAACGGGTAAAAATTCTTTCAATCAAGTTATAAAAAAGTTAAAAATATAAAATAAAATAAAATAAAATAAAAAGTAGTGTGTTGGGTTGACCAACCCGGCTCAACTCGGATGGGCCAGGTCAATAGGCTAGGTTAGGTTGTGTTACTACACCCGGACTTTAGCTCGAACCAAACTCAAGAGTAGCCTGCATCAACCCGACTTGTGTCAACCTGAAATAGGTGGCCTGGGCTCGAGTTGGCACAGCTCAACCTAATCGGTAATCTTAGTTTTTATTTAAAAAATCTAGATTGATCTCAAATCTGACTGATTAATTTCCTCAATAATTGGTTGTTGCTTTCTATTTCTTTTTTCCTAAAGGATACTTTTGCTTTTTTGATAAAACAGATGATTGTAAATCCTATATGTATTACTTTATAATTAATAGTGTTCTTATTTTTCATTGTGGACAAATTTTCAAAAGAGACTCATTTAGACTTTTATTCCCAAAAAATGACCTCATTCAAACAAAATTACAAAAACCGATCTAGTTTCAGCCTCAGCGCTGAAACCAGGTCGGTTTTCAAAAAAAAAATTTCGAAACTCCACGGGAGTTGAACTCCCGTGAAGTTTAGTAGATGTGCTAAACTTCACGGGAGTTCAACTCCTGTGAAGTTTAGCAGATCTACTAAACTTCACGGGAGTTCAACTCCCGTGGAGTTTCAGAATTTTTTTTTAAAAAACCAACCTGGTTTCAGCGCTGAGGCTAAAACCAGGTCGTTTTTTGTAATTTTGTTTGAATGATGTCGTTTTTTGGGGATTAAGTTCACAAATGGGTCTGTTTTGAAAATTCCTTCATTTCATTGTAGCCGTGAAACCAGGTCGTTTTTTGTAATTTTGTTTGAATGAGGTCTTTTTTTGGGATTAAGTTCACAAATGGGTATGTTTTGAAAATTCGTCCATTTCATTGTAGCCGTGGAATATTTCCGTCATAGCTTCCTACATTGCCCCTTGGTAGATTATGAGATTTCGCTTCTATTTTGCGTTGAATATAATTCTTAAATTTGAAATGCAAAATTAGATAACTTGAGAAAGTTTTATTCTTAGATAGTTTGAAATTCAAACATAAATTAAGAAATTTCAATTAAAAAAAGGAAAGTGTAGGCATACTTAGTGCATGCATGGATATTTTTTTAATTCAAAACTTAAATTTAAAATTAGATGGATTAATTACCAATTTCTTTGTTGTGATATCTCTTTTTTATAGTATTCTTAAAAAAACTATAAAAACTTGATATTTGACATCCAAAATTTAAAACTTCAAATGTAGTAAATGTTTTTTTTATTAATTAGATAGAGTGAGAAATAAGTTTTAATTATATATAAGCTTCAAATTCATAGGAGGGTAACTGGAAAGAACTTGAGCAAGCCTTAACATAATTAAGACAAAGAGAAATGATTGTAATAGCATAGTAAGATTTATTGAACTTGATATGAATTAGTACAATTTTAGAAAATATTATTTTACACAATCATAGAACTCAAAAGTTTTTTCACCCATTTGAAAAATATTCATAGCTGCATGACTGGGCTTCAAATAAAGCATTAAGATAAATGGTCCCTAGATAATTTGTTAATTATGAAGAGGTTGTATTATAAAGGAAACTTTTAAGATTTTGTATGAAATAAAGAGGGGAATGCAGTTAAACCCTCTTACATGAAACAATCAAAAACGTAGCAGTTAGATGTGATATAAGCCCTTCATGTATATCCGCTAATCCATCCTTTATAAAAATTGAAAATAAAAAATTTAAGAAGGGAGACATGTTAATTTTTTGAGATGCATGTAAAGCTAATAGTAAACCACCAATATTCACTCTTTATAGATGAAGGAGGGACACGATTTTAAATTAAAAAAAAAGAATATGTAAGATTTACTACCACATGCTATTATCTATGAGAATAATTCACAATCAAAATGTAATAATATAATGGTTACGATTGAATAAAGTGACAGGATGAGAAAAAAAAACTCATTAAACTCTATTTTTTTAAAAAAATTATATACTTGCATTAAAGACCATTTTCATCAATCTGCAATCCATTGAAAATTTATAAGAAATAGATAATTAGCAAGATGAGCTATATATTGAGTGTTAACGTTAAATTTTCTAAAAAATAATATTGTGTGTTAATGATAAAATTTCTAAAATATGTGTCAGCGTAACTTAGAAACCACTTAAAAGTGTACAGAAAATTAGCCTCTTAAATAAAAAGTAATCTAGTTATAGATAGTGAAAGTGATATTTAATTTAATAAAATGAAGCTAACATTCTACGATTAGTGTTGAATAAATTTTATACGTATATATCCTTGTAGTAGACAAATAATATATGTGAAAGCCAATAAGGTCACTTTATCTATCCAATTATCCAAATAAAACAATATTGCAGTAATTAGATGAGATATAAGGTCTTCACATATGCCACTAGTATATCCTCTCTAAATTTTTAAAAAACCAGAGAAAGACAATTAAGTGAATTTTTTTTTGAATGTGCAGCTAAAGTAAACCACCAATATCTCATTGAGGTTAATTTAATACCTTATGTAACTTGAAATACTGAGCTGTATATCATGTTATTTCTTCAGCAGCGTGCTAAATAAAAATAAATTGAGTTTTAAATATGAACAAGTCGAGAATTTACCACTAGCTTCTTAGACTTGCGAAAATCTTGGATTATGTTAAAGAAATCCCTCATTTTCCCGAAAGCGAAGAGGAGGAAGAAGCTGAAGCGAGTGGTGAGAGATGTGAAGAATGATATCTTCACCATATTTTGGAGAGAGCGAGAGAGGGGGACAGGGGGGAGGGAGGGAGGGAGGAGATGAGTATGATGAAGAGAGAGGAGGGAAAGGGATCGGGTTTTAAATATTTATGAGAGTGAAAATTATAGCTCAAGGATCACATTGGCCTTGGTCTTAGTCCATTTTTGTTCAACTGGACTAAGATTCTACAAAATACTATTCCTCAGGCGAATACTTTTCCTCTCAAGTTTTCCTCATGGCGAATACTTTTCCTCTCATATTTGATTTTCTTAATTTGGGCATCATTTAGATTCTACAAAATATTTGTTGATTATCTGAGAAATTTGTTTCTAAAAGTTTTTTTTTTCCGCTACCATCTCAATTAAATCTTTTTATCAATTTTGTATAATGTACACGTTCTATGTTTACTAGGTCAAAGAAAAACACAAGCTACTGTATAAACACAAGGATAATGTCACACGCGAGTTGTTTTATAAAATTAAACAAACGAAAGTCATAGTTGACAAACCTAGAATTAGTCTCAGAATTAAACATATGTAGTCCATACTGGCAACTACGTACTTAGATGACACAACGTTCTCTATGTTAGCCTAACAAAACAAACCGTGGGGCCCACAAAGGTGGGCCTCACAAAGACAAATAAGATTTCGGTGTCGTTTTCTTTGAAGAATGAAAAAGGTGACGGGTCCCACCGGGTCCCACAAATATTTTATTATTAGTGGCGGGTCCCACAGATAATATTATATTTGTACATAGTGTTTTCTCAAACACTATAAATAGGGCCCTAAACTCTTAAGAAAATCTCATCTCAGAAACAACTCCTCTTATAGAAAGAGTAAGAGAAAACAAAGAGAGAGTTTGTGAGAGTTCTTGGAGTGTATCTGATCAAGAGAGGGTGTTCTCTTGGATCAATTCTTTTGGGATATAAAAGAATTTGGCGTCGTCGTTGCACCGTGGAGTAGCTCCGAAGGAGTGAACCACGTATATCTGTGAGTACTCTGTGTTGAATTTTGTGCCTTTATTTTGTGATTAAGTCTCCGTTCGAGGCGTTATTATTGGGGTGTTTCCTATCACCAAGCAGCGTACAGGGTATCAGCTGGGGGAAGTGCTGCTGGGTATTTGATTCGCGAGAGAGTAGTAATAGGCTTTGATGTCCTGGGCAAGGGAAGCGAGAAAGTACTTTTCAATGATTTGAAGGACTAATTTCAAAATATAAAAGATATAAGCCAATATCTAAAAACCACAAAAAGAGAAATGTTTTTGTTAGACTTGGAATTGAATCGCATTACATTGAAAAACAACGTGTTTGTATTTGTTTGAACTTTTCAAATCTAGTTGTATTCATTCGTAATTTTCAAATTCGACTCTAAGTCTCTTTTTTTTGGATTCGAGTTCAAAGTCAAATAAATGGTTTTGAGTATTTATGAAAATTTATCGAATATAATGATATACTTATTTAATTAATAATCTATTCTTTATAAATATGACACTATGTAATAAAATATTTTTATTAGATTAGTTTTTTATTTTTTATTTTTTTTTGGGCCATATGTCGCAAGACGGTGGGTAAAAAAAAATTAGTTTAAATATTGACAAAGTATAGTGGTTCAAAAACATAACATACTGTGTCTACTAATACAAAATGAAAATGGGATGAAATCTAAAAGAATTAAAGCTTTGAAAAAATTAGTAGGCGGATCAAAGTTCAGGCTACAAGAGCTTTATCGTGTGATTCTTTTTATAATAAATATTTCCATTCTATTTAATTCTTAGTACATCAACGTTTAAAAAGGTGTAAAGTAAACGATAGATCGCTAAATTACAAACTCCCCTTTACAAAAAATATTAGCTAATATCTAATATTTAAGGCACTGATGAGCTATTACTGAGATTTGAGTGACTAATATGGGATTTTGGAGATTTAAATGACTAATATCTAAGTAACCCTAGAAATTTAGGGTAAAATTCAATTTGTGCGGTAGCGATCGGGCCCCACTTGCACTAAGGCCAATTATAGTATCTAATACCCAATAGCTCAACAAGTTTCTCAAATTGTGAACGAGCAATTGCCTTTGTGAATGGATCTGCTATATTATCTTTTGTGTCTACTCTTTCAATCTTGATCTCCCGGCGATCAACTATCTCCCTGATCAAGTGATACTTCCTCAGAATGTGTCTGGACTTATGGTGAGATCGGGGTTCCTTTGTTAGAGCTATTGCAGCATTATTATCACAGTATAAAGGTACTGGATCTTTAATGGTGGGAACAACTTCCAGCTCTAAAAGGAACTTCCTCATCCAGACAGCTTCTTTAGCTGCATCATTAGCTGCAATGTATTCAGCTTCCATAGTCGAGTCTGCTACTGTATCCTGCTTGGAACTTTTCCAGCTGACAGCTCCTCTATTGAGGGTGAAAACATATCCTGATACAGACTTACTATCATCGATATCGCTCTGAAAGCTTGAGTCGGAAAAAGCCTCCATTCGGAGGTCACTTTTACCGTATATCAAAAATAACTCTTTAGTCCTTTTAAGGTACTTAAGTATATTCTTGACCGCTTTCCAGTGCTCTTCTCCATGATCAGATTGGTATCTACTTACCAAACTGAGTGAATAAGCGATATCTGGTCTAGTACATAACATGGCATACATGATCGATCCTACTGCCGAGGCATAAGGAATTAGACTCATGCGTTTCCTCTCTTCATCAGTCCGGGGAGACATCTTTTTAGAGAGGGAGATTCCAGGAGATGCAGGTACAAAACCTTTCTTGGAATTTTCCATGCTAAACCGTTTTAGCACTTTGCCAATGTATCTAGATTGCGATAATCCTAACATCCTTTTAGATCTATCTCTATAGATCTGAATACCCAGTATACAGGATGCTTCACCTAAATCTTTCATGGAAAATCTTTTTGATAGCCAAATTTTAACCGCTTGTAATGACGGTATGTCATTACCGATTAAGAGTATATCGTCTACATATAAAATAAGAAACGATATAATACTCCCAATTATCCTTTTATACACACATGGTTCATCTGGATTTTTGATGAAACCAAACTCTTTGATAGCATCATCAAAACAGATGTTCCATCTCCGTGATGCTTGCTTCAGTCCATAAATAGATTTAAGCAATCTACATGCTTTTCCACTGCTCCCACTAACTACAAAACCCTCTGGTTGCGTCATATATATGCACTCTTCTAAATCACCATTTAGAAATGCAGTTTTAACGTCCATTTGCCAGATCTCATAGTCATAGTGAGCAGCTATAGCAAGTAGGATCCGAATAGACTTGAGCATAGCCACTGGAGAAAAAGTTTCATCGTAGTCCAAACCAGGTCTTTGACGAAAACCTTTAGCTACCAGTCTAGCTTTAAAAGTCTCTACTTTTCCATCTACACCCAACTTTTTCTTAAACAACCATTTGCAACCTATGGGTATCACCCCTTTAGGAGCATTGTCTAATATCCATACTTTGTTGGTGTACATAGAGTCTATTTCAGATTTCATTGCATCATGCCAAGCAACAGAGTCCCTACTCTCAGAGGCTTGCTGATAACTTAAAGGTTCGTCATCATCTATGACGTGATCTAACATGCCACCTTCAACTAAAAAATTATATTGTGTCTTAGGTGCATGAGATCGCCTTGGATATCTGTGGAGTGGTTGAGGTTCTTCTGGTATAACTGAATTTGCTGGTTCCACTAATTTATCAGTAATATTTTGTATCTCTGAAATTTCTTCCAGTTCTACCATGCTCCCACTAATTTCTTTTTCAAGAAATTCCTTCTCTAAGAAGGTGGCATGCCGAGAAACAATTATCTTTTGTTCATCGATGTGGTAGAATTGATATCCAATGGAATTCCTTGGATATCCTACAAATTTGCATAATACTGAGCGTGCCTCTAACTTTTTGGGATCTTGCTTCTTTACATAAGCATGACATCCCCAAATCTTAATATAATTAAGATGTGGTTTCTTCCCACTCCATATCTCATATGGAGGTTTAGGCACTGCTTTAGTTGGAACCCTATTCAGTAAGTGTGTTGCTGTTTCTAATGCATACCCCCAGAATGAAAAAGGTAACTCAGTGTTACTCATCATGGAACGTACCATATCTAATAGGGTACGATTCCTTCTTTCTGACACGCCGTTAAGCTGTGGTGTAAAGGGTGGAGTAACCTGAGAGAGAATCCCATTCTCTTTTAAAATACCTAAGAATTCCGAGCTCAAGTATTCACCTCCTCGATCCGATCGAAGAATTTTAACTTTCTTGCCCGTTTGGTTCTCTACTTCATTTTTGTACTCGATAAATTTCTCAAGTGCTTCAGATTTGTGTTTCATCAAAAACACATGTCCAAACCTTGAAAAATCATCAGTAAAAGTAATAAAGTAGGAGTAGCCACCTCTGGCCATTGTAGACATAGGACCACATACATCACTATGTATCAGTCCTAAGAGTTCTGTAACTCTTACTCCAGTTCCTGTAAATGGAGTCTTGGTCATTTTACCTTTAAGACAAGACTTGCAAGTCTCATAAGACTCAAAGTCAAATGGATCTAAATATCCATGCTTATGAAGCTCGCCAAGTCTTTCTTTATTAATGTGACCAAGTCTGCAATGCCATAAGAAAGCGTCATTCATAACTGAGTGCTTTCTTTTATTAGTGTGATAAGTGTTCAGAATTGTATTTTGATTAAGAATATAGATGCCATTGCACAATGTTCCATAAGCAATCAACTTTTGATTAAATATGATATTCATAACATTGTTCTCCAACTTAAATACATATCCATCTTTATCTAATAAAGATATGGATATTATATTACACATCATAGTTGGTACAAAATAGCAGCTATTTAAAATCAAAACGTTTCCATTTGGTAAAGCTAGATGAAAATCCCCTACTGCAAGTGCTGCAACTATTGCACCATTACCAACTTGCATAGTCATCTCTCCAGCTCCAAGTTTTCTATAACTTTTAAGTCCCTGTAACAAATTACAGATGTGAGATCCTG